AGTTGATTTCAAATTGGGTAGCCGAGGTGGAGAAACAGATTGTCTCCAGAATCTTGTACATTTCTTTTAAAGTTGTTTTTTGTGGAAGGAGTTGAAAATCAGATGGTCTCGTGAATTTTCTAAACTGCTTTCTTTCATTCGGAACGGAGCGCTTTAGATTATTTTTTGCAGGAGGAGTATGGCCCGGGGGGGGGGGGGTGATAATATATAGAGAACAATGCATAAAACGAAAAAGAAGGTGGTGGTGTTTGAAAAAGTCACAATGTAAGCAACAATACTTGAATGTTCGCAATAGTCAACATTTATAATTTTGTATAAAAAAGGAGAAAGAAGAAACAAAAAATCTACAGAAGAATACGTTTAGTGTTCCATACTCATAAACACAAGAGTTATCCAGAATCGAAAGGAAAGAATGGTCGAACAAAGGCAACCAACTGCGCTTGCTATGTATAGAAAAAAGACCAACGTTCCAAAATTTCAGTAATGGAAAACTGCCATGACTGCAAGCTATACCGATGAGTTGGTTTTATTGACCATAATAAAGCCTTTGACTCCATCGAGAGAGCTTTCGTGGTCTAGAATACAGTGTTCGCTTTTCATTCTGTTGATCCATGATTTGAAAACTGACAGGGCCGTAAAAAATGTTTCTCTAAAAAGTTCTCTTTTCACCCCTTGCGCAACCTTTCTTGCTCTCTAGTCACATTCTTTCATAATTATTATTATACTTTGATTTTCATTTTCTGTTCCATGACCCCCCCCCCCCCCTTCCCCCTTCTTTGGGCCTGGCATATATGAATGTGTGTGTATGTGTGTGTGTGTGTGTGTGTGTGTGTGTGTGTGTGTGTGTGTGTGTGTGTGTGTGTGTGTGTGTGTGTGTGTGTGCTTGTGTGTGAGTGAGTGCGTCTGTACATAAAGAAATATATAAAGAAATATATAATATGTGTATCATATATATTATAAAAAATGGAATGTAATAATAATAACATGTAATATATATCTATATCTATCTATCTATCTATCTATCTATATATATATATATATATATATATATATCTCCATATTATATATTAACATAGGCATAATATTATTTTATCTATCCAATAAAAATATATATAATATATATAATAATTTTTTTAGGGGTGGGTATGTTTGTGTGTGTGTGCGGGGAGTGAGAGATGGAGAGAGAGAGAGAGTGTGTGTGTGTGTGTGTGTGTGTGTGTGTGTGTGTGTGTGTGAGAGAGAGAGAGAGAGAGAGAGAGAGAGAGAGAGAGAGAGCGGGGGGGGGGGGAGCGGAGAGAAGGGGAGAGATCATAAGGAAAAGAGAAGAAGATACAGAAAAAATAAAAAGAGAGACAGGGAGACAGAGAGAGAGAGAGAGAGAGAGAGAGAGAGAGAGAGAGAGAGAGAGAGAGAGAGGGAGGGAGGGAGAGAGGGAGGGAGGGAGGGATGGAGACAAATAGAGAGAGACAGACAGAGGGGGAGAAAGGAGGGGGCGGGAGAAGAATTAGAAACACAAAGCTGTACAAAATAAAACAAAACTACAGCTTCTTGTCGACACAAAAAAGGGACAAGAGGAGAGAATAACATTGAAGCAGTTCTCTCCCTTTACGTCTGTCTTGAATTTGGAAGAAACAATGAAACCCCAACTCCCACGCATTGGCAATAAACTTTGCAAATCAGGTTTGTGTTTCCAACAAGCCTCCGAAATTGATATTTGGAGCCCATGGTCAACTGAATATCGATTCGATTCTCAATATCGACTACATTTCGCCGTTGACGATACCACAGTTTTCTCTTCTTCTTAATGAAGGTATTTACAGCCCCCTTCAACACACTTTATATCATTAGTTAGGAAGCATATTTTGACATTCCCTAAAAGAATAGATTGGTCTGAGAAGGATGCAGTATTCATTCTAGAAAAAGATTCTCTCAACACAGGCATTGAACTCACTTCTGCTGCTTGCGACAACAAAAAGTAACAGCTACACCTTAGACGCGCGTACCTTGCTCTCCGAATTTGTGTAACGTTCTGAGTCGAATTTCAAGGTTGTTCGAAACATAAAGAAACTTAAATTGAAAATTAATCCTTTAGAATACGACGTACTTTTGACAAAATTTTGAATCTGAGAGAGAAGCAGAAATAAAGTAGGTTATTTATAGTTGAAAGGAAAGATAGGAGATAGGGAACCAGAACAGGGTGGGGAAAGGTGGAAAGTTGTGCGTCTTGCTATATTCTGTTTAATGATTCAAAATCACTTTAAACATTCACAAAATATGTATGCATTCATCGGGACTATAATTTTATAAATATTAATTTACCTTTCAGTTTAGGTAAATCACCCTCTTTCAGAAACGAATCTATCTATCTCTCTATCTATCTCTCTATCTATCTATCTATCTCTCTATCTCTCTATCTATCTATCTATCTATCTATCTATCATCTATCTATCTATCTATCTATCTATCTATCTATCTATCTATCTATCTATCTATCTATCTGGATCAGCAGTTGGGTGCGAGCGCGTGTGTGTTTATATCTGTATAATGTGTGTGTGTGTGTGTGTGTGTGTGTGTGTATGTGTGTGTGTGCACACGTATGTGTGTGTGTGGAGTATGTGTGTGTGTGCACACGTATGTGTGTGTGTGGAGTATGTGTGTGTGTGTGTGTGTGTGTGTGTGTGTGTGTGTGTTCGTGTGTATGTGTGTGTGTGTGTGTGTGTGTGTGTGTGTGTGTGTGTGTGATTTGTTTACGTAGACATTCCTTTCCATTTATATTTACACTTATTAACCAAAAATTTGACTCCCTCCCTTTTACACGTTCTTTTAGATTGTCTTTCAGTTGGGTAAAGTCTCGGTTGTAAAATTAAATTTGTTCAAATAATAGGCTTATAAATGGAAAGTTTTAACAGTTCTTTAAATAGTTTAGGTTTACGAGTGGACCTCACCACCAGCACTGTTTTCCTTTGTCGTATTAACTAAATCCATAGTGTACCTTTAACTAATTGTTGTATTTTTTTCACGCCATTATTGACATATTTGAGATCATTTAGAGGAGGGTTGAACTATTTCGACACTTTTTGTCAGAACCTACCCATGTTAAGAGGGGTGTAGCATCCCAGCTGATAACGTGAAATACTATGTTAAAAAAACCACCCTCACCATTTAGATACATCGAAGTCAGTCTTCAGTAAGCGACAGAGAACAGACTTGCCAGTACCATAATATGGCAGACGCCAGTCACCCTTAATTTCTGGATTTGAGTCAAATGGACAGTATAGTGGGGTTCTTTGCGATAACCTTTAAAAGGTTAAAACATTCTCCCGCATGGGCAAAGTCCTGGTCTTATGAACTCAGTATTTCCGGCGTCTGTGATGTAGTGGTTTGGCATTTTGCCATCATGCGCGGAAAACCCGAGTTCAAACCCACTATAGGGAGAATTTTTTATCGGCTACATGTACATGTCTCCTTCTCAGTCCAGGATGGCCTTGATAAGGAGGATCAAAGCCTGCCTCCTGAATGATCTGAATTGTGTCGATGTAGGCATGAAAAACAACTGAATTAAGATTATTATTATAATTTTACTGAGGCCCAGCATTTCCCCACTTATGTGAAGAGTGCCATGAGGTCATGAACCCAGTAATCGAATACTGTTATTCGGACAACGGAATAAACCGGTTCCTGGTTAAGTGCCGTGCTTCTCACAAGTTGAGTTAAAGGAATTCCCGAGACATGTCTCTCTGTGAGGCCCATACAGCTCGCCTGGGCCCGTCCGCTGTCCCCAGAGTTTTAAGGCAATTTGTTCTCTTTCGTTATAGGGTAAATTAATTGCACCCAGTTACAGATGTTGGCATCGTCTTTTTGTGTCTGTCAGCAAGGGCGAGGCGTTTTCACTGTATTCTATGTGGTTGCTTTTGTTGTTGTTACTGTTGCTGCTGCTGTTATTTCTAATGTTATTGTTGCTGTTGCTGTTATTGTTATTGCTAAAGCTGTAACTGCTGTTGTTATCATTGATTTGGTTGTAGTTGTGGTTGTAGTAGTTACTGCTGTTGGTTATATTTTCTGTTGGTTTTTTCATGTTGATGTCTTTGTTGTTATTATTGTTTTTATTGTTGTTATTCCTGCTGTTATTGTTTTACGTTGTTTGTCGTTACTGGTATGTCGTCTTTGGTAAAGTTATAAATTCAGCAATTGCTATAATATGTGCTGACGATTGATATGAAAATGGATCGATCCGTTGTTGAAGCATGTTCGCTGTAGTAAGTTAGTTCAGATAGACAAGGTGGAAGCAGGCTGCCTCCTAAATTGTACAGATTCCTTGGATGAGCGCGTGAATCATTTAAAGTGAGTTATTTGTCTTTATATGTTATTCAGAAAAAGATCGCTAACCTTCTCCTTAACAAACTAGCCTGCTGAAATGGAAGCGTGAACAATTTACGATTCACACATATTATCTTCATCAGAAAAATTATATAACCTGTCTCCTGGATGATTGACACGTTGACGACAAGGAAATAAAACATTAACAATTAATCATTCTTCCCTAGAAAAAGAACGTAATTCGGCTTTCAAAGGTCCTATTCTGTGTCAAAAAGACACAAAATATTCACAAGGAACCACACTATTATATTACTACCTTGGCCCAGAAAAAAGAAGACTACCAGTCTTTTTTTATAGTACATGTTGTTGTTTTAACGCCTCCCATCCAAAAATATAGATAATTAAGGGGAAGATCATTCAGCCCTGGCTGTCAGATCAAAAGCCAGGCTGTGAGGAGTACATCATCAGTAAAAGATCCCAGCAGAAAACGATGCTCGACAAAAATTTCACCCCACTCCGGAATCGAACTTGGGTCGCCTGCGTGCGACAGTGGAGTCTCTACAGCTCAACCACTGCAGACCGTGGGCACTGGTCCACTCGACCTCCTAAAATATTTTATTGACAGTGTCAATAAGGAAGTAAAAGATTAATTGCATTGAATTCTATGTTATTATATTCTCCAGAAAAAGATCGCCACCCGTCTCCCGTGGTCAAGCGGGCATCTGACCGCGCTTTTGGTTCCTTCTACCGGATGATGGCAAGACACAACCGCTACAGAGACGACCAGGTTTTTGTGGAGAAAATGTTTCGGCTTTTTGACATGAATTGTAAGTACCATTGACATTTCTAGATTTTAAGGGGAGCGTGGAAGTTCAAGAACACATGATTTAGACAGAATTAGTCTATGGATTACAGATTTACTGTTTGTTTTAAAATAACTGAGTAAGCATTACTAGAGGGAAGTAGAACTTTCTCGACTTCTTAGTGAGAAGAGACCATGGTACTCCCTGCTTTATCGCTCTCTGTAAGTTTTTCGTGGTTTTTTCCCCCTCTAAGAATGCACCTCTAGGAGGCTTTACCTCTTTAGTTATTTCCAGAGGCTTTTAGATACACCCTTCCGAAGCTCGTATTGTTCAAGTAGAAACAAAAAGCTATTTATAGAAACACTAGAGCTCAGAGCAGCGTCCGATAGTTTTATCCTCCCAGATTAGTGCGACATGATTCCGCAATTTTCTTTCGGGGTTTTTAATGCAAGGATCGCTAAATCCCGAATTAGATCATCCCCCCCC